GCATGTAGAAATACAATTGTATTTTGTATGTTGACCTTACACCATATCTTGCTGAACTTTTCATAGCTTTTAAATTGGAGATTCTTTTGGATTTAACATGTATGAATGTCACATACATTCATGTTTCTGCAGAGCTTTATTTTCCGATTAATATGGGCGCACATACGATTAGGTGACAGTTTGCTTTTTTAAGGTTGAAGTCTGAGTTGTAGTTGTGCCCTTCACCCAGGAAGGCAATATCCCCTTGCAATGTACCTGTTAGGTGAACAGCTTATTTCTTAGTATGTATGCTTTTTCTTTTTCTTGTCTTATTCATAGGCTGGGATCTTCAGCACAAGTTGAATAAAAATGTTAAAACAAAAAACCCCTTTGCCTTTCTTTTCTAATTCTAGTTTTCTGAAAATTTTAATCATGAATGGATGTTAAACGTTATTGTTTATTTTTTCTGCATCTATTGATCACAATCCACTCCACCTGAACTGGGTAAATTAATTTTTAAAATTCTAGTAATTTTTTAAAAAATATTCAACTATGGTAAAATACACACAAAATTTACCATCTTAACCATTTTTGAGTTCAGTATTAAGTGTATTCACTGTTGTGCAATGCATGCCCAGTTTTTCATTTTGCAAACCTTTATATTCACTGAAAAGTAACTCTCCATTGGGCCCCACCACCCTCTGCTAATTCATTTTTCATCTTACTGTTTGTGATAAACTGGGGGGGGTGGGGAGTGGTGCCTCACTACAAAAAGTTTTCAAAGCAGTATTCTCAAGCAGCTTTTTAGTATTCATGCATTTTTATTTAATTTTACAGAAAGGGTCTTGGTCTGTTACCTGGGCTAGAGTGCAGTGGTGTCTCATCATAGTTCACTGCAGCCTCAAACTCCTAGGCTGGCATGATCCTTCTGCCTCAGCCTCCAAAGTAACTGGGACTACAGGCATGGGCCACCAGGGCTTATTTTTCTTATTTTTGTGGGAATGGGTCTATGTTGGTCAGGCTGGTCTCAGACTCCTGGCCTCATGGAATCCTACTGCCTCGACTTACTAAATCACTAGGTCTCTGGGATTACAGGTATGAGCCACTTTACCCGGAAAAACTCCCAACAACTGGCTTGCAAATTAGGCTTTAAAGCCACATTAAAAAAAAAAAATCAGTCTTGGGAGAACAAATATACCTGTGTCCTGACTGATGATTTTCATCACTTTTAACTAGATAAATTAGATTACATAATTTTAGAGTAATTTGTTTCAAACCAGAGTATCTTATAAGCATGTCAAAGTTTGATCATTATTTGCCCATAAGCAAAAGCACGAGTCACATGCTTTCCCCAGCCTGTTCTATTCCACTGTGCTTTGTTCCTGCTGAAGCATCCTGCTTAGCCAACAAGGAGAAGTAATTTTTTGTTTTTACAAAAGGGTTTTACTTTGGATTTATAGCTTACTCATCAGCTTACCTTTTGACAAATAGTCTCACCACTTCATCTGTTACTATTCTGAAATAGTTTGGCTTTTTAGATGGAACTTCCTTTGTTTTTTTAAAGAGGCTAACCTTTACCAATTTTAGTTCCATAGAATTTGTTCTTCCCAAATTAAAAGCTTTTAATTAAAGAAATATATAAGGCATGTGTATAATACATCAGCAATGGACTGTCAGATTTCTATCCAGATACCCTGAGAATTTAAAACTTATTTGTTTTCAAGGAAAAAACTTTAAGTAGCACAGAATCATATTGTATATAGTTTTATTTTTCTTATTTTACTATTTTTACATTTTATGCACAAATATTTATCTGGGTAAAAATAGAAAATAACTTTTATGTAAAATTACAAAAAAAATAAAAACCACAAAGAAATACATAATTGTTATTATGATAGTATAAGTGTCTTTATTTAAAGAGTAAAAATGTATGCAAAAATCCTCCTCCCTTTTACAAAAGATTGAGAATATTGTTTTCCTGGCAGCAAGTGAAATGTTGAAGTATCAATATTTTTACAGCTTTTTTAGATCTGAAGACATTAAGTTAGTCACATGTTTGTTCTGCAAATATGAATCTTAAAACATTTTTGTGCTATTTGAAAGATGCACTATTTTTTTTAAAGGCAGTAGCATAAAATAATTGATATGGAAAACAGCAGACCTTCCCAAAAATATCTGGTGATATCATCCTTTAAAGAAATATCATATTTGAGTATCACCATTAATCATGGGAGAAAACAAACCATTTTTCTAAATGACACAGTTGACAGGAAAATAAATATAATCAGTTGATTCATGTGAAGATCAACTACACACAGCAATTCTGCCTCATCTGTTTGATTTCCCAATTCCAACCAACACACATTTTCAGAATTCAGGCTAGCAAGGTATATACGAAAGTTGGCTCAATAAGAACCTCTCATGAAAAGAAAGTTTGAAAACAAAGTGAACATTGCATTACTTGTCCTTACATGGTACAAAAGATGACCAATACTCTTACAACTTTCTTCCTTTGAATATACTGTAAATTCTCCTATGAAAAATTCATTCATAAATACAGAGTAACGAACACCTAGCATGAATTACATTTGCTTTTACAATACTTTTTTTTTTGAACCTTCTCGCTCTGTTGCCTGGGCTAGATTGTAGCCTCCATCTCCTGAGTTCAAATGATCCTCCTGTCTCAGCCTACAGCTCGGACTATAGGCCTGTGCTACCATGTCCAGCTAATTTTTGAAATTTTCTGTAGAGATGAGGTCTTGCTACTGCCCAGGCTGGTCTTGAACTACTGGCCTCAAGGATCTCCCATCTCGGCCTTCCAAAGTGCTAGTATTATAGGCATAAGCCACCACTCCTGGCCACAAGTTATCTTTTACTATAAGAAAAACTACCCAGTTTTCTGCTAACTATAACCTCAATAAGGACAACAGAATATTTTATATATAAGTTGAAACAAAGCAATGAAAGTTTCTTGACTCAACTGGAGAAATTAGTTACATTATTTTACCTGTGTTATGGTGTACAGAACGATGGTGAAAGAAGAAGGGGAAAAAAAACATGTGGTCATGTATGAGAACTGTGTCTGTTCAAATTATAATGATGAATAAAATAAGAACTGCCAAAGGGAAAAAAATGAATAAAATGTGGTTATTCCCCCCAAAAAGCATCTGGGAAATACTTAGAGGAAAAAATAATACTTTGACATTAAGGTTCTAAAAGAAATATGCTCCTTGCCTTAAAAACACACACATATATACTGAAACATAAAGTCTGTGATCTTGGCTAAAACTTTAACATGTCTCCCCAAAAGCATTTTATATCTAAGTCAAGATTCTTAAGCTCTTGATAATTTGCCAGGAGAGTATGCTTTATTATTTTTTTAAATTGTAAGAGACGTGTCAATTCCCCAGGCTACATGAGGATGGTCCCAAACCTTCCCAGCTGCTACCTGAAGCTAGATCTTCTGCATATTATCTCACATTGTCATTCTACTCAGATATTCTTGCAATCGCAGCACCCAAATTGTATTATTATACTAATACACTGTTTGTATGTTCTCTGTATGTTTATAAAAAAGTAAAAACAGAAGTACTGTTAATACTCTTTTTAGATATCTACTGCAGAATCTCCAAGGGACTTAATAATACAAATGAACTGAGAGAACATTTTGTACCTCGACAGCACAGCTTTTTACAATTACAATATGTAGTTATCAGAAAAGGAGATTTTCAATCCCTCCTTGCTCTCCTGCCTTCCTTGTCCCTAAGATCTCTGCCTTCTATGATTCCTTCCGAACCACTAGTATTTTAGTATTGGTAGCAGCAACTGCTAACAATGCTACCAAGCCTGACTACACATTACCACGGCCCTTTTCTCTAGTTGTTCAAAAGCATTAACTAAGCTCTTACAAAGCCATTCTGGGGGATGGAATAAAAGGAAATGATGACAGATATGATGCATAAGGTAATATTTGAGAATCAACGTTCTGTCATAAGAGGATGATTAAAAGCTATTTGACAGTCTCTCATATCATGATTTGCACTTGATACCTTAAAACAAATAACAAAAATAAAAAAAAAAATAAGGAGAAAAAAAGATAGACATTTCTAGCCGTATCTGTTTAGTGTTAGCTTATGTTAAGTAAGGAATTTCATATATATAAGATTTAATTTGAATTTTTAAAATGAGTTATTTAATAATCTTCCTTCTGAATATCTTTATGCCTTTATATATATGTGTGTATATATGTATAAAATGATCAACTGGACATGTACATAAATTTTTGTATATACATGTATAATATCCAAAAGGAAAAAAAATAAAAAGTTTTATTTTAAAGAGAAGACTGCCTGTAAGGTCAAATTTTCCTTTTAAGACTATTTGCAAGTAGTCTACTAATGTTTTGAAAGGAAAGTACTGGTGACTGATTTAAAGTCTTCATTTTATCAGAAACATAGGAATATATATAAGCTGCTTTGAATAATAAACCGGCACTATAGGTTAATTAAAAAAAAAAAAAAAAAAGGAAGCCATACCAAACTAGACCAAACTTTTATTTCCTGGCTGAGGTGTACCTTTTCAGTTTTTTAAATCTCTGATAGGAAAAACAGAGATCATTTTAGAATATTTGTAATAGCTGGTTTATTAGAACTAAATGCCTCTCTCAAAATAATTTAATTCTTGGTCTGACATTATGGATAATCTATACAGAAAACCCTTAAAATTGGCTCGAGTTAAGCCAGATTTAAACCTGGATCTCCTTCTTCAGCACTGCTCTTTTGCCAGGCAACTTTATCATTCTTTGCTTGCAAATATATAAAGTACTTTAATAACCTGATACTCTTAGTTTAGTAATTTATTATTATTATAATTTTATTAGATATGAATATTTTAGCTCTGCTTGATTAGATGAAAACAGGCACACATGCTTTAGCTGAGAAATCTTCTGCTTCTATGTAAAGCAACATCTAAAGCAGCAGAGATGGGAAACAGTTGTATTTTAACAAACTGTTAAACCAGACTGTTTCCTGGAGATACTTCACTTATCATTTTCAGATGCTACTGGCTATTTTTGGTAGGGCTAGACATTAATACTGACCAGTTTAGCTTTCCTGACTGTTAACAAACTATTCCACAATGAACCTGCCTTCAAGCTGCAGACATTGTGGTGATCCTTTAACATACATGTATTCTAAAATATATGCTCAAAGTAAAAAGATCCAAATTCACAAGAGTATGAAATATTTATAAAAAAATCATGCATCAGACTGTACAGTCTAGAAATAAAAGAAGATTTAAATTCAGTAATAAAGGTAAGAGCCATACTTGCTCTCAATATTTAAGAAAGACCTTGAAGTCCCAGAAGGTCCTGGGGCTCAATTATCCTTTTCTGTTTGCAGAGAAGCAGCAGCCAGGGCTACTGCTGTGACTGGTTGGGCAATCCCATGGAGTTGCATCTTTGCCAGTTTCTTCTGTTCACATTCTGTGACCAATCGGTTCAACTCTGCTGCACTGTATCCAATAAGAGTCTTCAAGTCACAGACAAACTTGTACACAAATCTCTTGCCTTGAACTTTACAAATCATGTCCCCATCATAGTAATACCTTTAAAAAGAACAAAACATGTTAGGACTATATAAAAAATAAAAAATCCAGACTTCCTACAATATTTCATAAACTATTCCACAAGCAGAAGGGTATTAGAGTACTATAGCCACAAAAACAGCAGTTAACACTGAAGTCGTGTAGAATGTTTAATATCATTCAAGGAAATGCCAAAACATTATTTAAGAAAATTTCAGTGTTCAGTACTCTAAAACCCT